CGCTAGCATCTACAGTCCGAATAAGCTGCTAAGCGAAGGAGACTAAGGGCGATCTGTACTTCACACAAAATCGCTTGATCCAAAGCTCCCATCGAAAGTTAGATCCAGCCATGAGATCAATTAATCATCGACCGACGAGAGGCCGCCTACTGCACGCCGTTTTCGATACTGGAGAAGAACCTTCCTTGGGTGACACCGAGGCCGCGTCGGGTTCTTCGTCAACCCACTTGGTCATCCAACTCGATCCAGTACGAAACCTTACGAACCGAATCGGATGTACGAGACATGAGATGTTCAACTCCTGATTTGACATACTACGTCCCTTACACACCAACATCCAGCTACTACGAGAAAGACACAGAATCATTCATATGAAATTGGAAAACTCATAACGAAAGAACATACCTTCTCAAGGTCATCGTCGCGACTTCAACGCTAAGGTTGGCCAAGAAGAACGGCTGAAAAACTTCACATCGTACTCAACAGAGTGGAATGGAATGAGCAGTGTCGAGAGAACGTCATCAGTTTATCCATATCACCAACACCTCCAATTCTGACAAGTTCCAAAAGCCCAACCCCCACCGTCCGTTGACTGGAATCCCCTGCTGGACTAGTTCCGTAAAGAGATAGTCACATTCACTTCAATCGAAGATTTGCCTGACCGAAAAGTCGCTGTTCAAAAGTTCTGAGAACCACGACTAGACCGTTTGAACGGAGCAGCACCCGAAAGTAAGACTTACAACGTTCTGCCGCAATCACGTATATTGCGCTGCTGCATCGGCGCTCGTCTTTCATTCGGTCTTGCTCCGAATCAGGTTATCTCGTTACACCGGATCGGCCATCGGCTCCTCCAAGCAAGATTCACTTTTTGCTATCTGTTGAGAGTGCAAGGCAAAGTTCAAGAGAAGCGCAGCCCCAGGCCTGTCACTCAACCGGCACACTTCTTTCTCTCGTTAGCTTATGGGAGGATTTCGTCTCCGAAAACATCGACGAGGAGTGCTATCGCCACCTTGATCATCTACACGAGAGTGACAGGAAGAGAGTTCGAAAGTCACCAAGGGACATCTGTCTACGGAAAATCTCCAGCTGACACGCCAAGGTGGAGCACACGAGCTGCAGGCAATCACCAACTCACACTTGAGCTTGTGGAGCTATCCAGTGAGGCGATAAAGGAAGATCTCAAGGAGCGAAAAGCAGCAGGCAGTATTAGTTGAAGATCAGGGGCTGGGAGGGGCATCGCCACTGTCTGCCGAGGCTTTGCCAGCTACAAGACCAAGATGACCTGCCTCCGACGTTTGGATAGAGTAACTGCATCCCTGAGGGCAATGGAGAAAGTGATCGACGTATTCTACACGGATCTCTTCGACAGAAATGTTCACCTGCCTACTTATCAACTGCAACAGGAGGGTGAGTCGTTCCCTCAGTTCTCTTTTCCGAAGTCCTACATGCCGTGAAATCATTGAGGAACCGTATAGCACTGAATCTCTACAGGGTCGAACCTGAACGTCTGAAGAATGCGCCGCCAGTTATCATCAAAACTCTGGCTCGACTTCCAAGCGCCACCTGCCGGAATGCAAAGTGCCCACTGCGTAGAAAACAAGCAGAACTGTGTTGGTGTACAAGAAGGGAAACCTGGACGTTATCGGCATTTATCGCTCAATTTTCCTGCTGTCCTGCTGTCTGTAATCCACAAACTATTCACTCAAGTCATCCTCAACAGGATTGGCGGAATACTGGATGTAGGACAGCCACGCTAGGAAGGGAATTACGGTAACAAGAGTTGCGGCGATCAATTTTCAATTTCAAACATAAGGAGTTTTTTGTATATTCTATATTTTTATTTTGAGATTGAGATAATGTGGTTCTGTTCATGCTTTGGCAATCTTTGGCGTCTACGCACATACATCCAGATACGACGACCGAGAACACGAAGTATTCTAATATATATAGAATTGGAGAAGTCTACAATGAAGATCACATCTTTTTCAAGGGTCGTCGTCGGCGACTTCAACGCTAAGATTGGCCGAAGAACGTCTGAAGAACATCACACGATACTCACGGAAGGTATTGGAATGATTAGGAAGAAAGACTGTCTGAGTTTACCATGTCGACGAACACCATCCATGGTAACTTACAATTCCACAAGCCCCTCATCTTCGCTAAACTTGGGAGTCACCTAATGGGCAGGCCCAGAACGAGATAACCACATCATTCAATCGCAGGTTTTGCTGACCAGTCTCGCAGTTGTTCCAAAGTTTGATAATTGAGTGTTCCATTTTTGATTCACATGAAATATATTAATTTCGGAAAGGGCGAGCTTTCAATTCCTCGACAAGTAGTCCCTACTTCGCTGTGACGGGATGTTCGATAGTGTTGCAGTGCAAGTCGATTCGGATACTCTTTGAAACTTCCGTCTACCACTAAAGTACAAAGTTCACCTGTTTAGACCGCGATGCCTAGATCTGTAAATATTGTATGTGCGACCTGAGCAATAGCTCGAAGATACATGCGGAGAAGCATGTAAGACAGCTTCCTCAATCCGTCGTTTGGTCGCTGAACCTGCTGTTAAGCTCACTTGCTTGCAACGCCTTATATGCAAAAACCTTACCTGGACGTTTTAACAAGAACAAAAATTCCAAGTATTTAAGCGTTGCGTGGGAATTGAAAAGAAAGTGTCTGTCTGTCTCGATTCCGCAATGATCGTTCCTTTATGGATAGTCTTCTCTGATGAGAAGGTATTCCGCTGTTTTGAATAAGAAGAGCAGCTGGACTAATGCTGGTGAAAAGCCCACAGCCATTCGGTGATGGTTTTCACAGAAATCATTAGAGCAGGAATGACAAACACACTTGAGACCCCTGCCGCTCAATATATAAAATTATAGAATTCGCCTTCAACTCCCTCTCTCTCGGCTGTTGCTTGGAACGAAAGCATCCTCAACAGCAAACGTTGGCTCTCCCAACTCAAGCCATATGGTGTACTCTGTATTGAGGGTGTCGAAGGCAAAACATTACAAGCATAATATGAACATCGACTAGTTCAGCAGTCGTTCTCAGAAGCCTTGGACCTAGTCGAGAACACCTTCCTACACGATAGAGTCAACGAACTTTTTGGAATTCTCGTTGATTTATCAACACAGACAGCGCTCCCTCCTAAGTGCAATATTATTTTCTGTTATACATATAACATTCCACCAAGGTACTAGTGTTCATAGTTTGAGATTTCTCCGCAACACTGCTTTTTAATGAACAACTTATTTTGTTACCGTGATTTTTGCCCACCCTGTATATTGAAGAATACCGCAATAAAGAAGAGATGCAAGTGGCATAGCTGGTTCGAGCACCAAAATTAATCGCAGTCATCCCACAGGTTGTATTCCTATATCGAGTAAAAATTGATGAAAATGTCCTCTAAAAATGTCTCCTTGGAACTGAACCCACCAGCCAATGCTTGATCCTAATGCGAATACAGGGAATTCTCCAGCGAATTTGCTGAGTAGGTGGCATTGTTCAAATGAAAAGTCATGCTCGTAGCCTGGATCTTTGATAACCTGAGAAACCCCTCTTACGGAGTTGAAGCCCCCCCCCCCGCCCCAGCCTTGCGGCCTTGAGTTAACTATCGCCAGATTTCTTGACAGGAATTTCCGCTTAACTAGCCAACCTCTCATTCTATCACACCACGTCGCACTGAGTCGAAGCTCCATGACAATGTTTATTAGGAGACTGTCACCCAAAAGGCAAACGATTGAAAAATCGTCGCTGCCAAATAAAAGAAAAAGACTCGAAAATGTTAACAACAAAATAAAGCACAGAAATGTGTTAAAATCTTTTGGACTTGATATTGATTTGGAATAGGACCTATATCTGATTCCAGTGAAGAGTACTGAAGACTGTTATAGGGTACACAGTCGAGTTTCATACATATCATCTTCTACGAAGAAAAACAAGTATTAAAATTGATAACACAGCATGAAATAATGACGTGTGCGTATGAAAACAACTTTCGTTGTTTCAAACGCCTCCATCAGAGTAAATGAAATAAATACATCTTACCGGTTCATCTAGCAGTTAACCCAAAGTTATCACAGTTTCATGTTGCACAACGAAGCAAAACAACCCCAGTGAAGAAACATATAGTGAAAGCATTTGTAAATTCATTACAATACAATGTCTTTTACAGATATCATGTGTTTTAATGACAAATTCCGCGGTTGAACAGAAGTGAGTTATTGCGTGGGAAATCAACACATTTGTGGTCAGTGGTCCACCAGTAATGAAATAAAACAAAAACTACCTGGAACGCCAAAATCACATTGCACGCTGGTCATAGGGCTAGGTCTTCGACCTTCCTTCACGTAAGTTCCAATAATTGGCCCAGATTCCTTACCGTACTGCGCCGGGCAGGGAGCAAACCTCTCCCATACCATCAGCCTGCAAGACGAACTTGAGGGCTTTCAGAAGTTTGTTTTTATCATTATCAGGATGGACCAATTTCCACAATAGTGCTCATTTTCAAGCGCAGCTACCCACAGCTATCCAACCACGTAATTTGCCTTCAACCATGGAGGATTTGTATGAACATGGAGCAGATGATTCCGCATGGGCGTCATACTTGATTGCAGCATCCGCTTTGACATGGTAAGCGGTGCTTATTGGTCACAAAATACAGGCGTACCGCTGAAATAACTCATAAGGATGAGCTGTGCTGGTTGTGTGACTGCAGCGGTTTCTACTTCTCCTCAATTGACGTTGGTTGTTCGACGGTAGGCTTTGTCGTCGTTGTCTTTTCAACATCAGCTGCAGCCGCTTTCGTCTCCTTCTCGCCATTTGCAACCGCTGTTGAAGCCTAAACTACACAATTAGAGGCGGAGGTCACGATGAAAGGCAGCCTATTAGAAATCGAGGTAAAGGTGTTCAAAAGTGCAGTGCTGAAGAAAAAACATACGAAAGCGGCGCAGAACCCAAAAAGTGCGACCCTTTTTGCCCGCTATTTTCCGCTTCGTACGAGTCAGAAACCAAGGAAGGGACTGTTTGCACGTCTTAATTAGATTTCCGGTCGAGATAAAATATAATTGCTGTGAACATGCTTCCACATATTCATTTCTTTTATTTTGTTGTCCACTGTTTTCTAACTCTACTCACAGTACCGTATGAGTTGCAGGCAGCGTAACCGATGTATAATACAACATATTAACGACGGAGGCAACGCAGTCAATAAGGAGGCCACACTAAACTTTGAAACACAATGACAGAAACAAGCGTGTTCCAACCCTTCACACCCCCTCCTCCTCCAGGCTCAACAAATGGGTTCTGTTTCCTGAGAGAACGACAAGGTTGGCCAATTGAACACCAGCAATCAAGGACACAAACTAAAATTGAAAATCACTGAAAAATTTACACGGGAATTTGCGAGGAACACATGTATCTATAGTGGTTGAAGAACTATGCTCGCATGTACAGAACTATGCTTGTATGTAGAGCTTTAGAGCCACTCAAAGGACGATGTCAAGCTGGAAAGGCAACTCATTTCAAATTAGCTTAGCGATGGTGAGGTATTGCTGTTGCTGTAGAGCTCAAGAAGAATCTTGATGTACTGAGTAGGGACGCCCTGGTTGCCCAAGGCTTCGATGACCGCTTCTGTCGCCACAGAGTCGAAGGCCTTCTTCAGTCGATGACGTGTGAGACAAAGCGGCCTTCATGTACTCTTCTGTGAAACCTTCAATGATCTTGTAACCGTTGGATCTGGTTCGATCGTGCTGAACCCATGCTCGAAACCCTGCTTGCTCTGCTTGCTGTCCTTCCATCTAGTTATATCTCATACTCCGGTTACCAGGATGGAATCGTGTGAATAGCTGTAGATACAGACAGCAGGCAGATTTGGCGATAGTCCAATCGTCGTCCAGGTCCTCCTTCTTGTACAGTCAACGACGTCCTGCTGGTTTTCCACGGAGTGGGTACCTTGACCATCCGACACGGTAGCCGCGTGAAGAGTCGAGCCTAGAGCTTTGGATGATGACTGGCGCGCATTCTTCTAGATGTTCCGGTTTGAGCCCTTGCGAGACCGTGTGCTGTACGCGAATTCTCACCTGACTTGATGGCGTGCCGGCTTGGTCGGAATAGAGTTACGAGGGATCGACGTACCATCCTGTTGCAAGTTGAAAACATGGCATGCATGACATGCTCTCGAGAGAGATCCGATAGAATCGTGAATGACTTCCTCCATGCTTTCGAATCGTCAGTGATCTGTTCCATCCGGAACGTCGGAGGCAAGGTCATCTTTGTCTTGTCGGCTGCAAAGCTTTTCGGCATTGCGCATAGCCCCTTCCCAGCCTCTGCTGCTTCAGCTACATACTTGCTGCTCTTCACGCTCTTGAGATCTCCATGATCTGCTCTCTGCATACTTCGCAAGCACGGACGTGAGTTGGTGCTTGCCTGCAGTCGTGACGCTTACCACGTTTGCGAAATCAGCTTCTAGAGGTTCGTAGACAGCGCGTCTCATTCTGATGACTGTACAAATCTCTAGTTCCCCTCCGCCCCCTCGTGGAGTTGTTCCACGCGCCGCATGATTTCCTTAGTCCGAATGATTCTCCGGACAACATGGAATCTCCCACACGCTGACGAACGGACTGTCGAAGTGGTCCAAGTTGGCTGTTTCCTGAACGGGCTTCGCCTTGCCTCGCACAACCTCTCGACCTCTCAACCCGCATCGAGAATGAATCTGCGCGGAGTAGACTCATGGTCTGAACGTCATAGCGTCACCTGAAGGGCACACAACCACACCAAATGTCGACGCCGGCAAGCTCACCACTCTCGTTTGCTATTACATATTCTTTGTTCTGTTCAAGCGCCAGTTAACCACATCCCACACAATGCGGAGCGAATGCTCAATCACCTCCCTGCGCCCTTGTGGTACACGGTATGGTCTACAGCTGAGCACACACAGATATTGACGATCCCCCACATGATCACACAGCCGGCGTTCAAACACTACACACAACACAAGATGTTCTGATGCCCCATCACGCTCACCGGAGACGCCATCACCCTCGATCGCTCTCAGACCCACGTAACGCTGAGCTCGGGAAAAACTCATCTATGATCGAAAATCGATGTTAGTCCAAGCTCCCAGCGAGCTGAAAAACAGGAGGATTACCGAAGCCGGCTTGTCGAAGCGTATAAAGAACCTCGATGGGACGTAGTGGATAGAAAGACGAACCCACCACCCACCGGCTTACCGGTACCAACCCCTCCTTCACTTCCGCCACACATCTTGATCAGCCTGCCGTCTAAAGATAACACCCTAACGCCTCCGAGACTTGGACTACACTGCGCCAGCAGATCGCAGCCCATGCGGTCAGCTGTTATCCAACGCGCTGTCGAGACGGACGATAGCTAGGAGCAACGCCGCTACACACACATCTATACACCGACACCTTCACTCCAAGATTCAGATGAAACCAACCACAACAAGATGCAACCGGGCAATCCGGAGGTGCCGAACGTACGCCACACACGATTCGAAGATCAGGGGCTGCTGAATCGTTTCAGCCAAGGCATGAAGATAACTTGAGTCGACACGTCATGCGATTTTGGCGATGAACCCGTTGTGATCCAGAGCGGTTACCCGACTGGATCCCTCGGAGCATCAAACGACACACCTGGACTGACCGCGCCAGCCCGAATGGTCAGCTTCTTCACCGAAAGCTCTGAATCGACAAGGAATGAAGGACACGTGTCCCTCAAGGAGCGAGGAGGTCCACTGGACAACTCTTGCCAGCGCGAACTAGGGACCGAATGGAGACGTTGCTGGCGCCCGCTCGGAGGCATCTTCGATGATGCAACGGGACGACAGTGTGACTACAGGCTGTGACTGGTGAGGTATACTAAAGAAGTCAAAAACCATGAGAAACCGACCCGAGACCCGAGAAATGGGGTATTCGTTCCCGCTGATTGCGGCATTTGGTGGCAACTTCATCGCTGTGCCCACTTTCAACACTACGCTCTTCACCCTTCTACATCATCCGCACCACCATAGAGCTCGCCGGCGACTGATCAGATGATGCGGCTAAGCGTGCACTGGCCCACCGCGCGAGACTTCAGCTTTAGTAGATCGCCTTGGTCAAAAAACCCTGTGGCGTGTGCCATCTTGGCCCTTCAGTCCGCCAACCGTTAGGAGTCTGACGGTCGCCTCAACAGAGTACATTACTCCTTCTTCATCTTCATTCATACGTGAATCGCCCTTCATAGTCCTCCTCGGAACCGTACGGTGTAATGAACGATTATTCGGTCTGATGCAAGGCGCATGCAGGAAACAAAGTCTGATGGCAGCAATGCTTTATCTAGGATTATCCATACGAAAATATCCCATTTGGAATACGATTATGTAAGCTTATATGCAAGCTTCCACAGGTTTTTTTTAATGTTCGAGAGGTCTATCAACGGGTGTTCTATTCCTGAAGGCTAACGCTAGGTTCGAACCCAGAGACCTACGCACCTAGGATTTCCACCATGCCTCGTGGCAATGAGGTCCTTCTTATGTTGTAGATGACATCAGTTGTTTGTGCATTTCCCCGCTGAATACTTCCATATGAAATAAAGACGCCAGTTATATCTATGCTGAGCAAACAAAGCGATCACCGGTATTCAATTGAAAATCGCCCACGAACACGTCCATCCTTTTCTATCGAGACCACCAATTCACTAGCGATCCCATAATCGCCGTAGTTGCCGGATCACACCCTGAATTTTCGGGAACTGCTTATTTAGACATAATGACAGTAATAATAATTACATCCAAATAATTTTTGGCTTGTTAATGAGAAAATATTTGTCAAATCGTCAAACCTCTTGTTGGAGGCAGATCGTTTTCCTTTTTGAGATCCTCGTTTAGCGGCCTCTATTCCTTGACGTATTAATTCTGCTAAGGCTGTCGCAGATACTAAAGCACCACTTCTAGGCATCATTACGGCACTTACAAGTAGAACAAAGTAGGGCGAGAAAGGGCTACGGTGAAAAAACAACCGAACTATGGTCAAACCACAACCCAACAAAACGTTACCTGCTGGTTCGTTTCAATTTCGGCTCCTTTTTCAGCGACCATTTTTAGAAGGTCCGCTAGATCCTTTGCATCTGACAGCATTCCGAATTTAACACATGACAACTGAAATACCTTTATTTGTAACGGTTATTACCGATTATGGATGTTACCAGTTTGACCATTTGTAGAAGAATAACACCCAGAATTCAAATTTAGCAATCAAGAAAAAATAGCCACAACTTAAGCATAGTGGTGCCAGAGTGGTTAACGAATTTGCGGGACGTATGGTGAGCTTTCTTAGCCTCCTGAAGGAGCTCCTCAAGAGCAGATAGTACGATAAACTGGTCGCAGTTGGAAATGCATGCAGGCGAGACACGGGAAGCAGTGGTGAAAAGTTAGGGAAACAGCCTGGATCGCAAGATGGATTCTTTTTGTTCCGTTGATTCTCTAGCCCTTCAAAATTCCACGAAAGCGAGAGATCGTGATAGTGTGTGTAGTGAAGCATGGAAGAACATGCACCGTGGAAACATAAGTCAGGGGCCTAAGGGAGCTAGATGTGGCCCTTTCGTGGCCGGTGGGAGAGAAAAGCTCACCGGCGGCGCGGATGCGAGCGCGTGCTGGTGACGTCAAAATGACGTCACAGCTGCGGAAGTCTCGAAAGAAGGGGAAGCTTCGGCTAGCGCCGCTGCTACCTCGCTCAAACTCTTACTTGTGCTGCGTTTCTGATAATGGTTGTGCCCGCAGCGAAATGATCGTGCTATGTTTGTAACTTACACCACGAGTTGAGCTTTCTCCAGCCGAGAAAGCCGAGTCGACAGACCGTAGTTGGTGAACGAGTTCCAAGTTCATATGAGATATCTGAAGTATATTAAAACAGCTGCTCAGAAAATTGTAATTTTGAAATTTTGGCAGAAGAGTAGGCAAAGAGTAGTACCTGCTGTTTCTCTTTGTCATCCCATTCAGAAGGTGATTTGTTGTTGATAATGGAAGGTACATAGCTGAAAAGAAGAGGATTTACGAGAACCTGATTTACTCCAGCAAATTTTCACGTGACCTACGCAGCGGCAAATGGGTGGGACTATCCGAGGCGGAGCAAGCGCTCAGAGGTTTTGTGGAAAACTATGTGCTTGCTTTTCCCTCACTACAAAGACTGAGTGGAGCTGTCTTCAGCGCGCGCGGGGCTAACTCGGTAGATATATTGCGATGCGTTTAATTTGGCTTGCAAACGCTTTCAAGTGTGCTTACATGACAGCATGGGGGCGGGTTTTGCTTGGGGCGCAGCTTTTGCGCAGACTTCATGCGCAAATTGTAAGCAATTTGTTCGGAGCTTCGCATGAATTTGCCTTATCATAGTGTAAGAAAAGTTAATATAACAAAGAAATGTAAATATAAGTGTTGACGCGTACCAAACAGCTCCAACACCGGCCCATTTGTGTACGGGGACGACGACCAGAGAGGGATATTCGCTCTTCAACTTCTCAAAATTTTCTCTAGCGGCTACTGTAGAGTCGACAATTTTGAGCACGCCACCGAGGAGTCGGATGAACTGCTGCACATGGTCAACGTGAGACGAGAGTGCTGGAAAGGTACATTTTAGATTTTCAGAGCCATAAGAAACTGTTTTGTAATTAACATGCAGAACGATGAGTACAACGCTATATGAAACTAGTTGGAATGCAAAGAGTTCACTTTTGATTCTTTAAAAGCACGAGGATAGTGGATAAAAAAAGAAGTTGAGAATTTCCGCCACATTTCTCACCATGTACGCAAACCATGCAGAAAAAAAAACTTTTGTATTACAGCAGCAAAACGAGGTTCCGAGAGTAGGAACTGATTTTGTACTAAATATTTTTGCGATATATTTTGGCAGAATTTCCTTGTCACTCAGAGGAGAAGAGGTAGGTTACTGAAGCTAATGGATGCCGTGATGGAAATGCCAAATACAAGGCGAATGAAAAAAAGACTTGCTGCAACGAAATTTCTAACTCCTTCTGCAACAAAATACCAAACAATATAGCCAAAGTGCCGCTTCGCGACTGCACGCATCAGTTGTGTACGTCTTACAAATTTCTGCTACTACGTGCCATTTCCATGTACCCTTCTCTTCAAAAAGCGAGGAAGTGTTGGTTGCAGACCTTGCACCACAAGTGACGGCGGCCTTCACAAAATGTTAATGTTTTCTGCTAGCGAAAATTAGCTTGTTGCAGTTGTATTCTATCAATTGTCACTAATTACGACTACCATTTAACAAAAATCAATTATCACCATGAACAACTTCTAACCATATTTATTTGATTGCCGTCGTCAGTGTGGTGTTTGGTCTGCACCCGGCACTTTCTAGCATTTCGAAGGGGAGGTTATATGTAGAAAAATGATTGAAAAACGTGTCAGACGAAATATCCCTGACTAGCAGCCTCATACTTCCCCCTACCTGCAGCGTGCTCCAGAGGACAGAAACGGAATGCAGTTCCATACGTGCCACCGAGTTCGATCATATGAATTCCCAACGACTGGCACTCTCCCACGACACCTTGGCCGAGCTAGAAATTTTATTGAAATGTTAATCATTAAAAAGAAGTGTAACCTGCAAAATACCTTACCCAAGAATTCAGCGAATCTCCGTATTCAGACTCATCACGGAAATGTTTTTCGGCCTCAGCAATAGCCTCCTTCGTTACTTCGTTATCAGGCTTTTGAGTCAATTCTCGCAAAGCCTATAAGTCAATCAAATAATAAACATATTGATCAAAAGCAATAATAAGCAACTCAAATATGTTGCATTCTACATTGCCTGGACACGGTTGAAACCAACCTTGGCTGCTTCCTTCGAAGCATTATAACGGTACTTGAAAATGAGCACTGTTGGAGCAGTGTACTGGTTTTTATAAACCCTGGTGACAAAATCGGCTGCGTTTTCCATTCCGACCACCTCAATCTGCGGGAATGATGAGAGGCCCTTCAGCATTACTTTACACTAAAATGTTTCGATATAAATACAATTTATCATTTTCTTTCAATGTCGACAACTTACTAGTAAATAGGCGTTCTCAATAATGTCGGAGATTCCTTTGCTTGTTAAGGTTTGCGTGACCACCCACCACGGCAGGGTGTCCAATTTCTCGCGATAAGAGGGCTTGTGTCCCTCTACCGTCCTGTACAGTGTCTGAAATATGGGTCCATTGCTATCAAGCTCAAAATCTGGGAGCAAAGAGTTTTCACCAGGACTTACCACAACAGGAGCTGCCGGAACACCTAACCAAAGAGCCAGAGGGAGCGTAACGCTGTCTACTTGGGTAAGGACGTGCACTAAGACTTCCGTCGGCTCACGAAGAGTCAGGGCTGCAACCGCCTGAAATGACCGACAAAATCAGATCCAGTCGGTATAAGCCGACAGAAACTTGTATTGTACTCTGCCGGCATGCCAAATAGCTAAATTTCTATCAAAAATAACCTAGCATAAGAGTATAAACACAAACAACCAAAAATGAATCTGAAATCACGGCCCAAATTCATCATCTACGAATTCTTCATGAGCGTTAACACGAGATGATGTCCTGCATGAGCTATGTAAGGGGGTCACGTGGAAAGGGCCGCCACTGATGTTTAGGGACAAACCTAACGGTCGTGAGGGTCGCAGGGCATGGTGCTTGGAATTCAAGCGTGGTGAGCTCCATTGTAAGCAATCATTTATTTATACGAAAACCATTTCTTCTCTACTCACCTGCCCAACAGCATGGAGCCAAAAGCGGTGCTTTTTTCGCGTTTCAAGTAGTTTCGATACCATATCATTTTGACCAAGAATCGTTGACCCAACGACAGCTATTACCAGTAGCGGAGTACGACCTGCAGCTACATCTTCTTCGAGAATTCGCTCGAATGCGTGATGGTCCTAAACGGCATCGATTTCCAGTGGGTTCATATTTACAGTCGATAACCTTCACCAAAAGCCTGCAGGGACAGAATACTGTCGGAACGTCATTAACCCTTTGATTAGTGACGCAGCTTGCCCTAACTTGTCATTAGTTGTACTTCCAGCGAAATGGAAAGTTTCTCATTTCGGAGGAGTGCTACTTCGACCGAATCTGCAAGCTTGCAGACCGATGGCAGGAGTGATGAATGTAATGGTGCTAATTTTGGAGAACAATTGATAATAATCGTTGTTTCTGTTCTAATGTAGGAATTTTGAATTTTCAGTGGTGGTGAGGGAAGTTTGGCGTCGAAGTAATGATTACATGATTTAAATAGGAATTTTTTCGCGAAACATTACAGGTCTTTTCCGATGGAAAACAAAGCAGTACCTGACAAACTATTCATAGCACTACATATTCATAGGCACCGCTTCATTAACAAGCGCCGAAATATTTTCCTCCCCGTTTTCGACTACAAAGCCTGACCTCTTGTAGGTCTTATTGAATTTCTCACTGTACTTCCGCTTCTGTTGCGCTGACGCACCCTATTTGACGAGAAATATGTTAACATGCTCACAATTCGTCCTTCAATTTCACTCATGTCTCCTTCGAGTTTTGGCAGCAGTACAATATCGGAGATGCCGAATTCCGAAGCGATGTACGGGGCGAGATCCATATGAAGAGCTGGTGTCACATACACCACTGGGGCGCCCTGGAATAATTTCGTTTTATGGATGCCATTATTCAAAACGATGGCTCTAACACAAATGCAAAAACGTTTCGTTTGACATATTGAAAAATTACATAAGTTCCACCACTGCATGCAAGGCAGCCTCGACCTTAGAGTGATGAAACCATACTGGTGTGGTCATCTAGGTATAATTCACCTGATACACGATTTTTACATATATTTTGCACTACAATCAGCTCAGATAACTGCGTAATTCCAAACCTAAAGGCAGAGTTACGTTCAGAAGGCAGCCCATAAGATTCAAGATAGAGGTGTTCAATGTTGCCAGATTGAGAAAAAAATCATGAGAAACGGCTCAGAACCCGAGAAATAGGACCCCTGCATATTTTGTAATCTATAAACTTCCTTGATGTACCGAAAAATTGGTTTTCTTCACGCAAGCCTATCGAAAAATTTTCAAAATAATTAAATCGAGTTTTTGTCCAGCAGACTTCTGAGCTTGCTGGCTCCATAAAAAAATTGAAGCTAGCTTTAAAAGGTTACAGCAGATACGAGAACATTTTGCGCTCAACGTTATTTGAAGGCACGCTTTAGTATGAAGATAATGTGTAAGAGCGCTTAATTATAAAGGCTGAGCAAGGTATTCTAGCTACGGAGAGAACGTGGCGCGCAGAGAAACGAGATTACGCGAAGAAGTACGCCGAGAAGGCACAGACATATAGCCATTACAAAGCGGGCAATGGGGGCACACTCACAATCACTTAATGGAAGCACTGAAGGCCCTAGCAGTTTTGTCATTCACTTTCGAACCATTTGGACGGCCCATCTGTAACTTCGCAAGCAGCTGTCTTATCCATCAAACGAACTACTCCGGGGTCTGATCACAGGGAACCCCTTTGAAGCTTTATTGCACAATCAGTATAAGGGGTGGTCAAAAAGAAGAGACACTTCACGTTCAAAACGCACTAACATCATTGTGCCAGATCGAAACCGAGCTCTCAATTGAACATTGAAGAGCACACTCCAGTATATCAGCAGATGACATAATAGCTTTCTGAACCGAGAACTTCAGAGAGCTTGCCGTGGATATTGTGCACGGTTCGAGCTCAAAGTGGTGCGCGACAGATCATGAACCATTAATTATTTGAAATGCTGGTCAGAAGCTCGCACACGCACAGCCAGAGCTACTGTCTCGAGAAAGATACTCATCAGCTAACCGATTAAAGTAATCATGTAGCTGCTTCAGGTTGGAGCATGTGCAGAAGACCTCCTTGAACTCGACGGCGATGCAGATGTCGTTATATTCTGAAGACAATGAGGGCACTTAACAGTGGCTTGCATCGTATGGATGAACCTTCAAGGAATATTTCGCCGAAGTAGTTCCACCAACCATGGTAGTCTGTGCAAGTTGAAGGCAAAGTTCGTGCTCAGGCCCACCCAAGAAATCCTTACCATGGCTAGAAGTGCTGGGTACCCAAGTGAAAAGTTAGCGCCACCTTTCTACATCGAATCGCGTTACTAGGACCCTAGACGCCATGGACTTCTAACACACTCCACCAAACCTAACATGGTCCGCCCACCGTTCGATATCTCGTCTGCGTCGCTACGTTGATATGCTCTTCCCGGACTTCTCTACCGCTCTCCGCTCTTCCATTATCTCTCACCTTCCTGCCTGTCTTTCGAACTTTTCCAAAGCATAGAGCAAAATGCTTGTACTTCCTGTGTCTTTCAGGATTTTTTTCCTTTTTTACGGTCTACCTCCCATCACTAGTTTCACATTTGGTGAAATCGAACAATCAATTTAATCCCGACTCTTGCCATTAACGCTTGCTGATATAAAATAGGAACACAGAGTCGCTTTTTTGGCCACCCCTATAGGTGACTCATTACCTTTCTTGAGTAAGATAGAGCTAGCGGAAAACAAGAAGATGTGCCGTTCTCGTAGATCAAAATTCGTGCGCCAGAGGCTAGAGGAAGGGTTGAAATTGTGACTCGCAAAGTCCACGTAAATGTGTGTAATTCCTGCATCTTGCTCGCTTCCTGTGCTCTGTCGCCTCGACGCTCAGTGTCACCGTCAGTAGCATGTCCTCATTTTATAAATTATATTCTCTTGAGGTGTTTTCCTCCTCTTTCTTCACTGATAGTACATTTCGCACTTTTGTTCACTTCAATTTATATTATTTTTATTTTAAATTTATATTAATGTTACCGAGATGGTGTAGGAGTTTTAACTGAGAATGCCGATGTGGTGTAGGAGTAAATCCCAAATCGAATCCACTTCGGACCAACCAAGTCCTTCCCGGGTCTATCAGTTGGTACGGGACTTGTCTGGTAAGATAAAAACACTTATACAACATAGACTGACCCCGAAAGGCATTGTATGGGTTGCACCACATTCTGGAGCCACTGCGATTCTAAATGGAAGCAAAATGCGTTGCGCATCTCACAGAGGAAGTGATAACACTGGAAGCCCACTATTCATCCTTTAGAAGGATAAAACATTTGCCGTTGACCAACCCCTTTTTTGGGATGCGGCACGCATTCTACTTCCATTTGTGCATTCGTAGTGGCGTTCGAATACGATGTGGCCTATACAATGACTTGCGGGGGCCAGCCGATGTACAAATCAGTGTTTTTATCCTCCCAGACAGGTCTGGTACCAATTAACCGACCCGGAGGGACGGAAGTATTGGCTGGCCCGGGCGACTCACGACACAGGATTTGATCCCCGGACCGCTCGCTCAGTAAGCGTGCCACATGCCACTACACCACTTCCGCCCTTTCATCCTTTATTTTTATCAGAACTAAGAGTTAAAACTCTCTGAAAGAAACTGAAACTTTTTGGGTATTCCGATTTCTCATTACACTGTAAAAAAAACCTACCTTTTCCACGAATACTTTCCATCCTTTGGTTATATAATCGTTACCATAGGTGTCCTTGAGTGCCAAACGTATCGCATGTCCTTAATATGATATAAGGTTACATTTCCTCTAGACGTTATGTTACGCCAAACGACGACAAAGCCGACAAGCTAACCTATTCCATTTCTAACTGAAAGTGCCAATGTAGCTTCTGGCTCTGAGCAATGAATATTGGATTCAGGGAATCTGAAGTAAGAAAATGACAAATAATGTTCGGAATCTGATTATCAACATACTTCTCATTATTGTTCTGAAAAGCGCAGAGCCGAAGTGTCGGCTAATCTGATCATAACGTCAGACGTGTTAGTGCCGAGAAGCTATGGTAGGTAAACCGCCAAAAGTTAAGTTACGGTGAAATGCTGCTCCAGTGGTGTACATACATAATGGTGGCACAATTGCCAGGTAAGCAAGAGACGGGGGTTTGAGTCCCACCTAGGGCCAGGGTTTTGCCCATATTTCAGCATTCTTGAGAACGCTATCACTTATCTGAGAAGATTACCTGAACTGCTGACTAAGAGCTTGACTAGTGTTTCCGTAGAGCCATGAAGCGATGCTCTGCCTATGGTGACTGTTCAATAGATCGATGTACGCCTTGAGCGAAGATGATGTCACTAACGTCCTTCCAAGATCAGACAAACGCTGATTTTCGCGTGACCTGAGTAGAAATATGTTCTTACGTGGGATCTTAGTGTCCGACATACAGTTCGCAACGCGTACGTAGCGCGAATAGGGTAGGTGTTTTATGAAGCTGCTAGAAAAAATCATTCGGCCACTCTGCGTGATTTAGTATCACACTAGCATAGACTTAATGGTGAACATATGAAAAAATGAAAATTTACCGAGTTTTCGACAGCTGAGGATGACCAGTTGGTGGAGTATCTCTACCGACCCATTCGTCGGAGATAATCAGCTGTTGGAGCTGCTCCAGGACTGGGGACACATTGCTCTGCGACATTCGCGAACTCTTTCGTGACAGCGATTTTGCCTTAATGAATTATATCCAGAATCGTTCCTTTGTCACTGAATGCGCCATGCCTGCGGCATCACGGAGACAATTGGGGTCGATTGGATGGGCATCAGGTTTACGCAGCTCATGATCGATGTGATATGATCCTGCTGGTGTCGACAACAAAAGTTGGGAATGAATGGAACTATTAGGTACGGAAAATTAATTCATATGTCGCGATCGCTCTTCGCCACTGTTCTTTGGCCACCACTGCAGATAGCCTATATGAATCCGTCAGTACGATGCAAGAAAGAAAGTACAACGAACTATGAAATTAAAGGCCGAACATCTAGTCTATTAGCGCATTCATGTGAATGTATTTCGAAAAGGCACAGCAGAAGACTCAGAATATTTTCCATAGAAAAATAGGCCTATTTTCAGAGCCCGAGCCAAATTTTCGATGATGATTTGTGGCGGAATATGAATGGGCTGGTGCATGCTTGAGCTTGAAGAAATTGGCATACCACATACCGGAACACCATTCTTCGTTATCGATCCATCTTCTAAACCGCTATCGTTCGACTTTGTTGAGGACGTTTGCGAGCCAGGACTATGTTGCAGCTGCTGATCGATTTTGCTGGAATAATGTCAATTCTGTAATCAATAAATTAAATATCTTGTCTAATTTGGAGGAAATCTCTGCCGGCCCAATCCAGCCAAGTTCTGCATTTTTCCCTGACACAAGAAAAGTCAACATTAGGCTTTAAAGGCAAAATTCAGGATAAAATTATAAGGTAATTCCACTCAAGTATGAAAGTAGGGGTAGGAAGTGGACCGCTAGTGGAGAAAAAAATACGCGAAATGCACAGTATGTTCGAGTCTTGTGCTCTACACTGCGGAGAAGTTCACAATGCCGGCAGGGAGATGAGAGATAATGTGAGCGCGGAGAGCGCTAGAGAATTCCGAGTAGAGAGAGCATAGCGGATCAAGTTAGCGACGCAGAAAAGATATCGAGCGGTGGGCGGATCGTGTCGCAACAGGTGGAGCGTGTCAAAGTTTCCAGCGTCCAGCGTCTAAGTAACGCTTTTAGAAGTAGGGAAGTGACGCTACCTCTACACTTGCGTACCTAGCGCTTCTAGCCATCGTAAAGGCCTCATTGGAGTGGGTCTTGAGCACGATTTGCCTGTAAGTTTCAGCACGCTCCTTTGAAATAAGTGAGGTCGAGCTTGTAGAAAAATAGCAAGCTAGCAGATTTGAACTCGGTATGACTAGAAAAAGGACAGACGTGAGGAATGATGGAAACGAAGTAGTGGCAAAAGGTGGCTCTTCCATTGGCACCTTTTGTTACTTCTTCACTTCCACAGTTTCGATTGGCATATCAATCCCACCAACAACTACCAAGAGTGCTGATAGGATTGGGATATTCAAACATAGAAATCGGGCAGCCTATGAAGTGCTTTGGGTCCCATACGTACTCAAAGCTTTGCAAAGATGAGTGTCGATTGAACGTGTGGCGCATCTCAAAGAAAGAATCACCACCGGGAGCTCCACCCTTTGTCGTCTTTCACACCATGTGGTTTTGACCGAAAAATGTGTTTCGCTTTTTTTATCCAAATGGACGGCTCATTTCCTACAGGCACATAAGAATGAAGTATCGCGTATTACGCTTTCCTCCTGGAAGGCATCGAAGGTACGAATCTTGGCAATTGATGCTTCTTTAGGGCTTTGTTTGACTTCGACTACGTTTGTGCGCGGGTTTCAATTTTTAATTTTCGCAGACTTGCACTTTCATATATCACACATATGAAGAAAAGCCGACTGCAGCCCTACATGGTAGAGCCAAATGGTTTAGAAACAGAAAACGTTAAATGTATGTGAAATTGTTGAACCCATACGAATGCGCTTATAGCTCCTGTGGTGATAAAAAATGCAAAAAAAATCATATATTGCAATAAACAAATGAACGCTTAACACCTAAGGCGACGGAGTCGAAAATGCTTCGTTTGGATGTAAAAATTCACAGAAATGGGGAAAAAAGATCTCAAAGCGTTGTTCGTTCCACTGTTCCTTGGTGTACTAATGGTTTGGTGGTCTTGATACACTAGCTGTTGGAGAATAAAAAAAAGCGACCGAGTCCAAAATGTTCACGGAAATTGATTTAAATATAATAAAAGTTCAGAGCACACATTGTACCCAATGGGTAAGCACTTTTGAGCGCGCATAGTCACTTGTAAAATTCTTGTTCACATTTGTGGTAACGATTCTGCCCGCTTCACTTCAAACAAGCTCTTCAAGCGAAGTAGGGTCAGCACATTTTCAGAACTTGCTAGAGCATGTAGTATCCATGGAAATTCAGCAAGCTTACCAAACTTCTTTATAACCGAAAATTTGAGTTTGCTAATGAGAGGGATGGGCGGAAGCGGTCTAGTGAAAAGTGCGGTTAATCACGCACACATTGTGGGAGGCAGTTCCAGCCTCGTGCGCACTCCAGGCCAACCAAGCTTTCCATTCCTCTGGGCTAGTGATTATTGTCGGACTAGGGTGGGAGAATAAGAAAGAATGACTTAGGCACGGTCTAAGGGCACGGGCGGAATGGAGACTAAACTACCCTTTGAGTCCCACCCCCTAAAAAATTCTCGGGAATAAATAATAGATCCAGGAACAGCTTAGTTTTACAACCTGAGTGGTCCAATTACATACCAAATCAATAATTTTATTGAACATCGTGAGGCTCCCACAATGTATAGGCCGATCGCATTCAATGTGCCATGGCGATTCTGAATTGAAAGAATGCGTGACACGTCCTAAAAGGGAGGGGTCAACGTGCAAACGGTTTACCCTTCCCAGTACAGCGATTGTTTTGTAGCGTGGTACAACAGACACTTCGTTGGGGCCCAGAATTTAGGAGTATGGAACGAGTTTATAACATACCTTCAGAGCAACCTTGGACGGATAAGTGGCAAATTAATTAGGTAGGAGCAAGGCAATTGTTCTTCATTAGGATTATTCCTAGTAGAACGATTAGCAAGATGCAAAAAAGTGAAAGCTCGAAACAGGTGTCGCTTTTCGCCGCTGATTAGTCAAATTCTCAGGGTATGAGGCTTGAAGATAGTTTTTAGCACGGAAATTTCGTCAGGTGCAGGAAGGGAAATTTCAGAGCTTCTTGGATTTGTTCCGAGCTTTTTACAGCAAAAATTTTGAACTACCACATTTTTTAAGGTTTCAAAGTGAACTCAAGGCTAAACATGAGTAGTAGGTCAGCGGAACTTTCATATTATGAATTAGCACTTACTGACACTTCATGCAGTACACCTATGGAGCAACTAAATCGGCTGAGGTGTAGCTGACGGGAACACGAAGGGTGTGAGAGGACAGAGGTGGCTGGTTTCAAAGCTGTGACGAATGTAATCGAAAATTCATAGCGCCTCAATCTGCGTTGGGTTGACCATATCCCATGGGACCGAGTCAACGAACACACCCATGCGCCTTTCCTTCTCAAAACTTAAAACTCACGTCGCTCAACTCCGCCCACAGCCATCCTCGGCTGCAAGACAAACACTAACACAATTACACTCTCATACATTTCCAGATGACAAAAAGCAAGCCTATCCGATTTGGGATATGTCGGACAGGGCATATAGCCGCAATTCAGAGGCCACTATGCAACCAGGGGCAAACATCAAACCTGAATGGAGCATTAAACGCGACGCATCAAACAAAATGTCCGTTTTACTATTTACAATTCGGGAAAACAGCTTTTATTGGACTTTGATAACCCATCCAGCGGACCCACTGTGGCATGCAATTTCTTTCGAAAAATTCTGTCAAGCTGCTCCATAGACCTTCACCTCTACGAAACATCTGGTCGTTCTACATAAAAATATTCAAAATAAGTTGAATAAAATTAGCAAATAATAAAAGAATAAATAATAGCAATAAATATTATGCAAACATCGTGTGATAATTAAATACAACACAAGCTCTCAAAATAATGTACAAGGGATTACGTGATGCTATGTAGTGCGTGCGACGTACACGGCAGACTGAGAGATGATATCATTAATGAGTAAGAAACGCTTGTCTGTGACACTTTCAGAATCCTGTTGGCTGCCTAGAAGAACATGCCGAAATGTGCTCGCCGTCAGCGGCCGGTTGCCAGACAATTCAGCTGAAAGCATGGCTGATGAACAACAGAAATAAAGGTGAGAAAAAGCGGTTATATTGGCAAGATGCGTGAGGAAAGAGCGGAATCACAGCCATGATGTCCAGATGAGATAGACGGCAGTGAGAGAGGCCTGCAAACCCTTCTGCTTGCACGGCGAACACAAACGAAGAATTCTCCGTCGATGATAGGTGCGAAAGAGAGGCGTGCGTCGTCAATTGGATAACGGCCCGAAAGCTGGATAGGTCCTCAATCAGCCGTTTTCAAACCTAATTCTATAACGAAGAATAGAAGAGAGCGTAGTAAGGTAATCGTCGAGGGTTGTCGATCATCCTTCGCTGCATGTACTCGATTCCCTAGTGGTAGTATTTGTCGGGCGAGGGACGTGGCCATACGAATGGAACACAGCCTTTAATGTAGTAGCGTTATGAGCTTCATAGGCCCCTCGCATCTCAGCAGGAGATAGGCCAAAAGTAGCCACTTTAGAAGCTGAAGGAGGGAATGAACATTGTGTTACAGCTCCAGCTCATCAATCACTTTTGCCGTCTGACGCATGATGAAGTTAGTACTCCTTGAAGCACCACATATTCATCAAATCCTACAATTATTGCACGAGGAGGCATTTAGCGGCGAACACGAGAAGACGTTAATGTTGCGCCTGAAGAGGTGCTCAGCATGCAACAATCGAACTGGTCCAAACGGGAAAGTTCCGTAGAAAAAGTAGAGGGGTTATTTTTGTGGAGCTGTGGAGCGGCAAAATGATCGGTTTTATTGTCATCAACTTCGTTTGTACAGGCATCTACGGAACATGGCTATTAGACGGATTGTTGAAGTATATTGAAAATCCTCGAAAGGGCCGTGCTGATATCTGGTGAGCTGGTTCGCGCTCAATCTGATGTCCAGATACGCCCGCAAAAGCATTGCCCTTTTTACAAGAAAAGGAAATGGCAAAGCAAACAAAATAGATAGGAGTTCAAAATGACTGGATAGAAAAAGAAATAATGAATATTCTATCGATTATTAGAAAAGTCGACAATTTGAACCTCAGGGTTATATGAGGACTATAATAGTATGCTAGAAAAATTCAATTTTCTAGTCGCTTGCAGCTACACTGCACTGCAAGCGTAATACAGCTAACGCTAAGTAGTGCATATTGCGGTACTTCTGCAAAATTTGGCTTGCAAAATATGGACTTCAAACAGATATTGCCATAGAAATCCATTTCCTTGGGCATTATAAATTCAACAAGTGATTCCTAGATAATGTCATCCAACTAAAGATAGAGCGTTAACTGAAGCGTCAATCAAAGTTTTTCAACGAACATTTTTCAACGCTTATCAATGATAAACGACAATGAATTGAAATACATATAACGCTTCAGGACAACGAGTCAAGCGATTTACATTCAAAATAAATAAACTTGGCAAAATTCCCATTCACAGCCAATGACGTCATAGAGGCTTGGAAACGTTCTAACGCCTTTGCAACTTTGACAAATTTTCACTTTTGCTTCCAACCTACGAAAATTCAAGAGACGCGACAAATGGTCGTTTCCTTATTCCTTTTATTGTGAGTTTTTTCAAAGCTTTTAATTCTATTTGGAAAAGCACAGATGTCACAAAATGGCACAAGTGAGGTATTAAACATCAACACTTCTTCCGGAAAGCAATTAAAGAACCGAGTTGGAGGGCTCAAATTGTTCTCCTTCCTTCACCAGCTCTTGAATGTCTGCAGACTGGGCCCTGAGAGATTCCTTGTCGGCATGACTGATGTATCCTATTTTTCAAGCAATCCGCCAAATAAAAATTGAGCAAGCCCACCAAACAATAGGAGATTTTCCTATTGAATTCTGTCATCAAGGAGCTCTATAACTTTAACTCTTCTATAGAGTCAGCCGAAAAATTAGTACAATGAACCACAATTCCTGTGCCCTGCTGCGAGTTCAAATACTTCATATGATTTATTCGTAGCCATGAAAGAGTTCATGGTTGCAGCGGCCAAGAGCTTATGGTTAGGGTTACAGTGCCGATGCACAATATCCGATGTATATGCCACAGATTTTAGCTACATTACAGAGTATAAACTACAGTAGAATGTAGTATGTAGTAGCATTATGTACATCTGTAGACGGTAATCAAATCTGATGAAGGTGGCAAGAGCTGCCTTTGCTTACAGTTTCTCTCAGAAACAAAACAGTGAAAAGGCAAAATTCGTG